AGGCACCAACTAGTGGAAAAACCTAAACGAAATAGTGAGTAGAGAAATGATCAGAGCTGCATATTGTCAGCTACTCTGATGGGACCAACAGCCTGAATATTTCCAAGTGGTGTTGGGACCTAAGAATTGACCTAGGGATCAGCCCTGGTCTCCAAGGGCTGCAGGGATGACTGCGCTGGTGGCCTATGAGTAGGAAGGGAAACAGCAAGGAGGGAGGCAACCTGAGCTGTTGACTTTCTGCCGTCCAGAGGGCACAGCCATTTTGAATGTTTGGCAGCCATTTTAGATATTTAAAGTGACTGAAGGTGCAGCCATTTTGAATGTTTATAAGCAGCGGCCACTTTGGATATTTAAAGTAATGGTGGGTGCAGCCATTTTAAATCTTTACAAGTGGCAACCATTTTGGATTTTAAAGTGATAGCATTCTCATTCAGATTCCAGGGACCTAAGAATAGTCTCTGTTTGCCAAGGTCGCAGGGACATATGAGAGGCTGACAACAAGAAAGCAGACAGGTGATAAGTGTATAAGTGCTGTCAACAACTGAATAGAGGAGCACAGTACCCTGCTTGCGTAGATAACATACAAACAAAACAAAGAAAGCAAAAATCATGGGCAAGTCACTCCAACATATAATCACCAATTAAATACATACACAAAAAGCTACAATGCCTCGGAGACAACAGAGCATCACAGTCCACACAAAGAAGCAAGATAAAGCAGGAGAAACAAGGGACCGGGATACAGAACCAAAACACATCTCTGAGGAAGATGCAGCATTGGAACTCCCTGATAAGGAAGTCAAAAGAATTATATTTAGGTATCTTCAGAGAATTGACAGACAGATCAAGGAAAACACAGAGAAAACCCTAGAACAATTCCAAAAGACAATACAAGAACAAAATGACAAAATAAATGAAAAGTTAGAAATGATACAAAATCTACACACAGAAATCTAGAAGATTAATACTAAATTTTAAGAAGTAGGTAAGATTTTCAATGGGCAAAGGAGCAGAATTGAATCAATGGAAGACAGAATTAGGGAGATTGAAGGCAAATACCTGAACACTTCTTTGGAAAGGGAGTAATCAGAAAAAAGATCAAAACAAAATGAAGAAAGCCTAAGGTTCACGTGGGATACCATCAAAAGGAATAACCTACGTGTAATCAGAATTCCAGAACAGGAAGAGACAAATAAAACTACAGAGAAAATTGCTGAAGATTCGTTGGAAGAGAATTTTCCTGGTATGATGAAAGATGAGAACATATCCATTCAGAAAGTCCAATGAATCCCAAACAGGATAGACCCTAGAAGAAAATCACCAAGACATATCATTATCAAACTTACCAAAACCAAAGACAAAGAAAGAATCACGAGAGCAGCACAGGAAAAACGAAAGTTACCTACAAGGGGCAACCAGTAAGACTAAGCTCAGATTTCTCGACAGCAACCATGCAGGCAAGAAGATAATGGGATGGTATATATAAAACCCTAAAAGAGAAAAATTTCAACCAAGAATTATATACCCAGCAAAACTGCCCCTCAAATATGATGGTGAAATTAGGACATTTCCAGATAAGCAGAAATTAAGGGAATTTGTTAAAACCAGACCAAGCTTACAAGAGATGCTAAAGGGAGCCCTTTGGACAGAGAAGCAACAACAGCCAACAACAACTGACCATTAACACACATTATGATACAACCCAGAAACCAACCTAGCTATGGAAATATCCAGAGTAAAGAAGAAGCTTACAAGATTGTGAACAGGGAACCAGAGACATCAATTGACAAATGAGGACAACTACAAACCAAAAAAAGGGAAAAAACTGCATCATTACAGAACTTCTAGATGGTAGGGAAGTCAAGACAACTACAACATAGAACAGACTGTTCTAAACTTGGGAAGAAAACTGTAAGTCACAGGGTAACCTCAAAGAAAAATGATAAACCTTCACATCAAAAAAAAAGGACCAGCATAAATATTCAGCAAATACTAAAACAATAACAATGAAGGAAGTGATAACACGATTCATAAACAAAATGAGCTCAGCATAGAAAATATATAGAACAAAAAAATCGACACCAAGAAAAACCACATAACGAAAATAAATGACAGCAACAAATTCATATTTGCCGACAATACATATCTGGCAAGGGACTTATCTCTAAGATTTATAGCGGAAGAGTGGATGACCAAACTATGGTGCATACACATAATGGAATGCTATGCAGCACTGAAGAATAATGTAGAGTCTGCAAAACACCACATAATATGGATGAACTTGGAAGACATTATGTTGAGTGAAATATTCACAGAAGGACAAGTATAGTATTAGTTCGTTGCTATGGAGGGTCAAGGAAAGGTTTATATATGGAGGGAAACTTTCTTTGTTGGTTGCTAGGGGTGGGAGGCGAGGGCAGGGAACACTGCAAAAAAAATGCATTTACTCATGTCTCTTTAGCTTTGTGTATTTCACTGTACATAAATTATATTTCAATAAAATGCATTTAAAAAAAGCAAAAAAAAAAAAAAAAGCTGTACAAGCAGCAAGTGCAGGTGATTCTGATTCTGATTTTGTTGGCAGAGGAGGCTGGTTCAATCATTTCAAAGGGCAAATTTACGTAACATTAAAGGGCAAGGAGTTAGGAGTAGTTCCTAAGTAAAATGTTCCTAATGGGGCAGTTTGTAATGGGGCCACTATAAAGGATAACAGTCAAAATCATTCCTTAAACACATACTGAATCATACTATTTGCCCGACACAATATACCATTCAGAATAGGATGGCTAAAGCTGGGATAAATCAAATTTGGTATGGGAAACAGATTTGTAAGAAAGTAGCAGTATAGTGTGATATGCACAATATTAAAAGATATGTGCAAAGCACTTGTAAGGCACAAAGAAAGGAGTACTAAGAGCCTACTCAAGTAGGAAAGTGTGTGTGTGTGTGTGTGTATGTATGTATGTAAAGAATGTGAAAATCCAGAGGAGAAACAACACTCCTAGCAGAGAATAGAGGCAAAATCATAAAGACATGAAAGAACAAGATGTAAAGCTCTTTGAGGTTCAATGTGGCTGAACTATGAGTATATATGGGACTAACTAGAGTTAAGGGAAAATAGACTTAAGCCAAGCCATTAGAAGCTCTAGTGGTGCTGTGGTTAAAGCACTGGACTGCTAACCCAAAGGAAGGCCATTCAAATCCACAGCCGCTCCGCAGGAGAAAGAGGAGGCAGTCTGCTTCGGTAAAGATTAACAACCTTGGAAACCCTATGAAGCAGTTCTACTCTGTCCTACAGGGTTGCTAGAGTTGGAATCCACTCAGTGGCAGTGGTTAGTGGTTAGGCCAAGTTGTAAAAGGCCTTAATATTATACTAAGAAATCTGGACATTATTCTATATCCATTAAAGTTTTTCACTTGGGGAGCGGCATGCCCCAAAGTATTTTTAGAAAGGTTCAGTGAACAGGATGGCTTAGAGATGGAAGAAACAAGGAGACCCATGAGGAGGTACTGAAGAAGTCAAAGTGAGAGGTGATGCAGAAAAGCATCAACTGGAAACAGTCTTAAAAAAGGAATGACAAAATTATGATATCTCAACTCAATGAAAGTGATCAAAGGACTTAATTAAAAGTATCTAATATGAAAACTAGGCATGGAAATGAAAACAAAACATAAAACAGAATATAGACCAAGACCAGAAGATAAGCAAAAATTAAATTAGATGCATTACAGTAAGATTTATGATGATTTATTTCTCTCTAAAAATAAACTGAATGTCATTACAAAACCACTGTATGTCCAAGAAATTTCTGTAGATTTAATTGAAATGGGGAGCAGTAAACGGCAAAGTCAAAGAAGCTATGATGTTGTGTCCAGCAGGACACACACCCAGGGAGGATTACCCCAGGAAAGGAAAAGAAACTCTATTTCTCCCTATATCTCCTTCACTCTTAAATAGCACATACACTTATTCCAGTTCTCAAATCGCCCTGCAGAAGTCACGACTCCATATTTCCTACTTTTCTATTGTTGTTCACCATGCTAGAAGCACAGCCCTTCAAATGCCACACCAGGTACAAGTATTATGGGCCATGCTATACACTTTTCAATGCTCACTGATGTTCATAATCAAGCCCTTTAGACACTACCTGATCCTCAGAGATGCAGTTATATTTACTGGATTATAGCCATAGAAAAGCAGAAGACTATATGCTATATTTCAATAAGGTCTGAAACAAAATGGAGTGGGAGAGGAAGCACTTTCTCCGAGAGTAAGTTAATAAAATCAAAAAACCCTAAACACCTCAATAACCCAGAACTAAGGAGCCAAATATTTAATGCAGGCCTCACGTGTGCCTCCCTCTGAGCACGCCAGTTAACCAAGGTTTTGAAATCAGCCCACCATGTGCTTAATCTCCACAAGTTACTGCCAGGCACAGGTGACGTGGACTATAACATGTATTATTGGGAGCCCAGGTATTTTAGTGACAAATACCTTCTGGATAGTATTCTAACATTAAATATTTAGGTTTAATATCTGGCTTGAAGACACTGAAAATTATTAAGGGGAAGTTCTAGAAACACTTCTGTGGAAAACTGTTTGTTGTTGTTGTTATGTGCCATTGAGTCAGACCCGACTCATAGCGACCCCTCCTTGGGTTTCCCAGGCAGTATTACTACGGAAGTAGATTGCCCCATCTTCCTTCAGAGGAGTGGCTGGTGGGTTTGAACCGCCAGCCTTCTGGTTAACAGTCAAGTGCCTTAGCCACTATGCTACCAGAGCTCCTGTGGAAAATTGTTAGAAAGAGCTAATATGTCCTGGAATGACTTAGATATAATCCTAGACAAAAAGCACATTGAAATTAATGTCAAAATATTTTATTAAATCATTTAAACTTATAGGACCCTAAAATTCCACCATCCAACAGATTCACCACTGCTTAGGGCAGCAAAGGAACCAAAGATAAATTGAGTTTTAAAGAAAAGTAAAAGCTACTCACTTGTACTGCATATTTGTAAAACTGTTCGGAAAGTTCTAGTCCCTCCCTCGTTTTACAGGTGCTGGGCAAGTCCTCGAGTCGGTCCAACTGTTCTACTTCAGCAACAGGATATGGCTTCTCTTTCAAGACCTGTACAATCTGGAACCGGCACAGGCCTGTAATCAGCAAAGTATAGTGGGGTTTGGGCCAGTTACTGCCTACAACCTGAACTGCCAGCGCAGCCGTCCCAATCCTGAAAAACACACAGAGAGTTGGTGTTATAAGCATTCATATGGTACAACAGAAATCACCTCACCTGTCAATAAAAAACATCCCAAAGAACATCTAAAATCAATAATTTCCCTATTTAATTAATCATCCAGTGTGTCATCTCTCAGAAGCAGTGGTTAAAGGCTGCTAATCAAAGGGTCAACGGTTTGAACCCCCCAGCCACTCCATGGGAGTAAGATGTGGCAGTCTGCTTCCCTAAAGATTTACAACCTTTGAAACCATAGGGGGCAGTTCTACTCTGCCCTATAGGATCACAATGAGGCAGAATCAACGCCACAGCAGCGGATATGTGGTCTCTTAAGTCACTAATCTAGCTATGAAACAGCAGCTCTTTCAAAAATTAGCTAAACATTTGGTTTATTTAGGCATAAAAATCTAAAAGTAGCTGGATCGTAATTATTTTGCCAACTAGGAATAAGACAATATTACCCCAGCATAAATATTAGCATTTTAATCAGATTTAGACATTAACAGCATAATGTAAACCAATCTAAAAAAATTTTGTTCCAATACATTTGCTGCTAACACCAAGTAAGTTCTTTACATAGTCAAGTTATACAATTTCTATGTATGTATCTTGTCTCAAATTGCCATCACAATCTGGGAATTAACATATATGCTCCTGAATATGGAATTTCTAAACGTGGGGAGTAAACATCAGAGGCCACAGATTATCATGGACTGAGGGAGCTGGAGAAAGACCTACAGTTCAAGAAGGTAAAATCTTCTCGTTCGTTAATAGGCGGTAATCACTCCACCTAACACTATTGGAAAAACCAAAAGAAACCAAACTCATTGCCATTGAGTCGGTCCCAACTCACAGTGACTCCTCCTTGGGTTTCCGAGGCACTATGTCCATGGTAGTAGATTGCCCAGTCTTCCTTCTGAGGAGTGGCTGGTGGGTTGGAACCACTAGCCATCTATTTAGCAGTCAAATGCCTTAGGCACTACGCCACCAGAGTTCCTCTATTTGAAAAATTTGCCTATTATTTAAGTCTTAGTTCCTTATCAGGACATGAAACTCAGATAAACTCACATATAAACCTAATTCACAGAAGGGAAGTCTCATCCAATCTAAACCAAAGTTAGACAAAATGTAAACATCAACCCTCCTAAGATATTTCCAGAACTCAAATTAAAGTAACTTTCTTCTCTCAGTTACAGTCATAATTTATAAAAGAAACTTGAATCAAAGGAAGAAAACAGTGATAGTAGAATACAGCACCTGCCCATCTCAAACATGCAAAATCACATACAAATACAGCAGGTGAGTATTTCAGTGAATCTTTGTCCTGCTGCATGCAGTTAAAGGAGCTGGGGTGGTACAGTGTTCGGCTGCTAACCAAAAGGTCAGCAATTCAAACCTACTAGCTGCTTCAAGGAAGAAAGATGAGGCAGCTCTGCTTCCATAAAGATTTACAGCCTTGGAAACCCAGTGGGGGTTGCTATGAGTTGGAACTGACTCGATGGCAGTGAGTTTGGTTTTTACACGCAGTTAAAGAAGCCATGGTAGTGCAGTGGTTAAACATCTGGTTGCTAACCAAAAGGCTGGCAGTTCAAACCCACTAGATGCTCCATGGGAGAAAGATGTGGCAGTCTGCTTCCATAAACATTTACAGCCTTTGAAGCCCCATGGGGAAGCTCCATTCTGTCCTACAGGGTCACTATGGGTCTATTCCCTGGCAGTGCGTACAATGCAGTTAACTCTTGATTACTTTGTTACAAATTATTCGTTCTGTGGATTGTCTATTGTTGTTCTTATATCCCATCCAGTTAATTTTGATTCATGGAGATCCTACTAGACAGAGTAGAATTGCCTTATAGTGTTTCCCAGGCTGTAAGCTTCTTGGGAGCAGATCACCAAGTCTCCTTTCCTCTGGAGCGCTGGTGGGTTTGAACTACCAACCTTTAAGCAGCCGAGCTCTTAACCACATTGTGGTTACACCACCACAATGTGTAACCTTTGACAAATTTTAAATTATTTGGCAGCGTACCTCTGTCACTCAGCTTATATTATGTCCATGCTTCCTCATCACCTTTATAACAGATAATAACAACTGATTTAAACATACCTTAGGAATTAGGACGAGAATTTGGTAGGTACGAAAAATATCAAGTATCTAAAAAACCTGAAATGATTTGACAATCACCCGTTATTTTGAATTATTTTGTTACTGCAGTTTTAAAGCACCAAGGAACACAATGGCTAAGAACTCAGGTGCTGACCATCTGCTAACTGAAGGTCAGAGGTTCAAACCCACCAGCAACTCCGTGAGAGAAAAGACCTGGAGATCTGCTTCCAAAAAAAGGCTACCGCCTGGAAAAACCTAAGGGGGCAGTTCTACTCAGTCACACAGGGTCAGTATGAGCTACAACAGGCAATAGCTCGTTGTAGTTCTCATTTCCTACAAACAACTCAGATCGCATGACAATACCTAAATAGAACCGACTAATACCATAATCCTATGCGATGATTTATTAATGTTTACACAACGCAGAAAGAGTTCACAGTCTGTGACCATCCAGACCAACCGGATCCCTAGCCTAAGGGCCATAAAACTAGAAACCAAGGAGAAACCACAGAGAGAGCCAAGAGGTGAGACAAATTCAAACCTCCAGACAAGGAAACTCATTTAATTACCCAGGGCAGGTCACTTAAAAATGAGACTGAAAATGAGTTTTCTTACAAGGAGAATAGTTTGCTAACTTTGGAAAAGAAGATGTTCCAAACTGCATTTACCTGTTGCCTCTCCTCCTAAAGGGAGAAAATCGATAAAGGTTTGAAATGTGCCATTTGTTCTCACTGGAGATCACTTCTAGTTTATTTGAATATAGCTTTTTTTTTTTAAGAATATTACTTTTTTTAAAAGAAAAATATGATCTGTGAAATTACACGGCTAGAAACAGAATACCTAGTGAAAGGCATCTGGGTGAAAAGCTCTGTTTAAAAGGACGGTGTTTAATCTATACATTCAATGCAATCCCAATCCAGATCCCATTAACATTCTTTAAGGATACGGAAAAACCAATTACTAACTTCACATGGAAAGGAAAGAGACCTCCGATAAGCAAAGCATTATAGAAGAAGAAGAACAAAGTAGGAAATCTCACACTCCCAGATCTCAAAACCTACTATACAGTCACAGTAGTCAAAACTGCCCGGTATTGGTACAACAACAAACACATAGACCAATGGAATAGAATTGAGAACCCAGAAATAGATCCATCGACCTATGTCAGCTCATCTTTGACAAAGGGCTGAAATCCACTAAATGGCGAAGAGACTGTTTAACAAATGGTGCTGGCAAAACTGGATACCTATTTGCAGAAAAATGAAACAACATCTGTACTTCACACCATACATAAAAACTACCTCCAGATGGATCAAAGACTTAAATGTGAAACCTAAAACTATAAAGTTCTTCAAGGAAAAGATAGGGGAAAATTTAGGGGCCCTAATATATGGCATAAATAGGCTATCAAGCATAACCCAAAATGCACAAACAGGAGAAAATAAACTAGATGAATAGGGCCTCCTCAAAATTAAATTTTTATGTGCTTGCAAAAGAAGCTCTGGTGGCATAGTGCCGAAGGCATCTGACTGCTAACCAGAAGGCTGGCGGTTCAAACCCACCGGCCACTCCTCGGAAGGAAGATTAGACAATCTCCATCTATAGTGATACTGCCTCGGAAACCTAAGAAGGGGTCACTATGAGTCAGATCCAACCTTACGGCAATGAGTGTGTTTTATGTGTGTGTGTGTGCTTCCAAAGACTTTTCCAAAAAGAGTCAAGAGAGAACCTACAGATTGGGAAAAAGTATTCGCCAATGACGTATCTGACAAGGAACTCATCTCTAGAATGTATAGAAAACTCCAACACCTCAATAACAAAAAGACAAATAATCCAATTAAAAAATGGGCAGAAGACATCAATAGACACTTCATCAAAGAAGATTATTCAAGCAGCCAACAAACATATGAAGAAATGCTCACAATCATTAGCCATCAGAGAGATGAAAATCAAAACAACAATGAGATACCATCTTGCCCCAGCACTAGTAGCAAAGTTCAATAAGACAGAAAATAAATACTGGCAAGGATATGGAGAGATTGGGACTCTCATACACTGCTGGTGGGACTGGAAAATGATCCAACCACTGCGGAAAACAGTATGGTGATTCCTTAAAAAGTTGCAATTAGAAATATCATTTGACCCAGCAATCCCATTACTAGATATATGTCCTAAAAAAGTGAGAGTCAGGGCAAGAACAGATATATGTACGCCCATGTTCATCACAGCACTATTTACAATAGCCAAAAGATGGTAACAACCTAGGTGCCCATCAACAGAAGAATGGATAACCAAACTATGGTATATACATACAATGGAATACTATGCAACCCTAAAGAATAATGTAGAATCAGCAAAACACCGTATAATGTGGATGACCTTGGACGACATTACACTGAGTGAAATAAGTCAATCACAGAAGGACAAATATTGTATTAGTCTGCTATTGTACAAAGCCAAGGAAAAGTTTATATATGGAAGGAAATATTCTTTGTTGGTTACTGGGGAGGGGAGGAAAGGGGAGGGGAGGAAAGGGAACACTTAGATAGGTAGAGACAAGTATTGATTTGGGTGAAAAGAAGGGCAATATATCAAATGTGAGTAATCAACACAGTGGTACTGAGGACAAGGAAGACATAAAGGTGTGTGGGAGGGTGAAACAGCAAAGATGAAGCCTTTTGCACGTATAGTACTGCGTTGTCAGTGAAGGCAAACATTGATATACAGGCAGATAGATGGGAGATAGGCTGAACTATTAGGTATGTCCATGCAAGGGGGAGTGTGCCCAAGACCATGTATACGGTTGGAAGACAATGTTTCTACAAGTTTATTTGTATGTTCTGCAAGAATTCCCAGGTACATAGTAGAGCTGACAAGGGGCAAGGTTGTA